GACTCTTCCCCTTCCCTCCTTGACGATATACTGCCTGAACCAGATCTTGCCTCTGCTTTCTCCTTGTCGCCAGAACTGTATTTTTTTTTCTGTGCTGTTGTCTATAACGCTCTTTCTCTATTGTGATTTGATTATCAGAAACATCCACATTTCTTTGGTCCTTAGGGACATGAGTACTGGGCTAACATGTCCATCTTCCTGAGGAGGTTTTTTCTTTTGGAAAGGCTGGGATCTGCAGTGAAACTTTGTCTGGGCTGGGGAAGCTGTTCCTGAGCGTTTCTTGGTGCTGTTAATTCTGTGCGTATCTCCAGCTAATGGCTCTGTCAGCGGGGTAACCCTCAGTGGTTTAGCTGAGTCTTTAAGTGCGCTCCAGCCCCGCTCTGCAAAGGCGGACCCCACATAAGTAGAGCTTTATTCACGCTGGCTCTTTAGACTGATCACAGCAAGGACAGCCTAGAAGAGACCAGTCGAATGTGCCTGGGACTAGGAAGGCCGCCTAGCCCAGAGATCTGCTCCGAACAACTGATTGCCTTGGACCCTTTCCGAAAAAGGCTCTGCAGACACGTATTCCTTCAGTGAACTACCAGAGACAGAGGCACATTGCCAGAAGAGCCAGCTGCGTTTGGGATTAGATGGCTGGAAAGAAGTCTTCTTTCTGTCTTCAAAACGAAATCACTTTTTAACATCTGCTGCAGAGAGTTCTCGTGACTCGCAGTTCCACGAGAAACTGTTCTCTTCCTTCTTTCCTGTTTCTTTGTTAATTAAGGTTATTTTCCTTCCCCTTCCTCACCCATTGTGTCTCCATATATGTTTCCTACTGGATGGCGGGGGGGATCCTTCTTCTGTCAATGTAACGTTTTTCTGTCTCTTGAAGTCTCATGATAACTGCAGCAATTTTCCACTCAGCTAGGTGAGCACACCCCAGATAACCTGGCAAGATCTGCCTGCACTCAGAAAATTGCTTGGAGAGAGGACTTCCTCACTAAGCCTTTAGTTTATTGTTATTTCAGTGCTAAATGAATAATGAGAAGGTTTAAGTAAACAGATGGGTTTGATTCAAGCCCATCATACCAGGGGTGTGGGGGGAGAGGAGCTGCTTGTCCTGACAGCTCATCTCATTAGGCCACACATGGTGTGAGGTGTTGAAAACAGTTTATCACGTATAATGCCTGGGCATGATGGGATGAGCTGGGGATCAAGTGTATCTTTGTCCTCCCCTTAATTCGTAATATTCCAAAAGGTCTCCTGTAGTTCTCAGGTGCAAAGTAAAGGTGTGTTTGAAGTTATGTTACAAAAATGACCTTTTTCTTCTGTTTCTTCCACAGTCTGAGCTGCCGGCGATGTATTATTGTGGGAAATGGTGGAGTACTTGCAAATAAGTCATTGGGGTTAAAAATTGATGACTATGATGTTGTTGTCAGGTGAGTCTTTGCCATCACAGTTTTCTTGTCACATATTCAGTTTCTGTATCAGTTCACATGCATGCTATGCAGGCAAAGGTTAAACCTACACTAGTGACAATATCTGTTAGCATGGGAGTATTAACTAATATGGAGGGGGGAAAAAAAAGAGCATATAAGTGTTATAAATGGTGATCACATGGAAGGGTAAAGGCACTCCTCAAGCATTCTATTTTCCACATCTGTTCAGGAATGTGCTCTCTCCTATGATCCCACTTGAACCTTCTCTTCATACCTCCTTTCTAAAAGCTGCTTCTTTTGTGATGCCCTTAGGTGGTGACACAGTAAAATATACTGTTAGGTCTGCTCCCAAATACCTCCCCTAGGTAGCTCAGGGAAGTATTATTGGTCATACGTGTATAGCATTCCCAAGGACCCACGCTTCACAGGTAGGATGGGGGGAACTAAGAACGGTGCAGCATAGGGTCTTAGGAAGCAGTAAGCCTTCATGAGCGAGGACCCAGTAATGATTAAACACCTGTAGGTGCGCCCTGGAAGCTGTGCATACTTTGCCTCTGTTTCACTGCGGATGATGGTGTTGAATAAGGGAGCAGCAGCAGAGTGGCGTAGGAGTGGAAACGACCACAGTCAAAGTCAGGACTTCTTGCTTTCACTGAGGACCTGGATCATCGCCATCTCAGAATGCTTGAAAAACGTGCTGATATGTGAAATCACAGGTCATGACTCTTAGGAATAAATCTGTCAAGTCAGGGAGGTGTTCTGGGTGACTGGAGATTAACAAACATAATACCTGTACTAATGGAGAGTGAGAGAGAGTGTATGTGTAGGAGGGAGGGGGGATGTGCTCTAGGGAGCTACAGACCCATTAGTCTGACTTGAAAAAAATGCAGAGCTTTATAGAAGGTTCTGAATCATGAGTAACAAAATATTATGAAGGTAAGTAGGAAAAGTGGGCTAAACCACAGTGTAACTTTATAAAAGCTGGTTTAACATACTCTAAGCTGGTATTTTTTTTTCTTAGTAAGATAACTGATTTCATATTAAAGGGAATATAACTGATATAATCTCTCTGAACTTTAGTCAACCGTGAGACATGGTGGCAAATAACAAATTCTTAGCTAAGGTGGAAGAAAGAAAAGGATTAGTAAAAGAATTTAAGGCATAGAGGACATATCATTTAGCATGGTCTCCTTTCTCTCCCATGCGCTAGTAATGGGCACATGAGGAAAGAAGAGAATATACATAGGGTAATAAATACCCTTTGACTCTGGACAAAAAGAACAAGATGATCCCTTTCAGTCCTTTGTGCCTGTGAAGGTTCCCTGCTTCCCTGACAGTGCTCTGGACACAGGGATGACTGTTGGGAACAGGATTAAACTTTTACAGCCCTTCTCCTAGTTCGTCCCAATATCAGTTGCTAGTGAAGAGCTCTTACTGCTCGTCATAGTTTGGTGATTTGCAGTTATTTGAGCCGAATTAAAATTCAGTTACAGCCTCTTCTTGGGCTCAGACTGTTCAAAAAGTAGCAAAAGAACAGTTTCAATCCATCTGGACTAAGCCACCCACTAAGATTTACATCAGAAAGTCCACTATTTAATTTCCAAATGAAAAGTTCAACCTTTTTTCTCCACATCAGTAAATCTAAGTCAGTTTGCAAGCTGAGAGGATAAGAGGGCAGCTGAGCACCTGTGCTGTTTGTGGGATGGATAAAGGAGAGAAAAGTCAACTATAAAGGTTAAATGAAGCCAGGTGCTTGGGTGTGGGACTGAGGAAGTGAGAACAGACTTCTTAAATGTACCCAACTGCCTCCTTTACTCCTGGGGAAGTCCCTTGTGTATAGCATCCTTTTTCATGGGTTGCAAAACTCCTTTGAAGGATCAGATTTGGGACCTAGGAGGTGAATTTTAAGGGGAAAAAATGTGGTACATTTGTGAACAAAGGAGTGATCCAGCAGTATGTGGAGTTTTTTGATGCATCGTGTGTTATCGTGTGAGGATCGCTAATTGAAGCAAGAAATTTTGATCTTGTGGTGAAGGGAGTCAGATCAGCTTTGGCAGTTCTAAAACAGCTTGGAGTGAGTTAGTTACTGGGGTTTTTTTTAACTGGATATTATCAGATTTCAGTGCAGACGTTATTCCCAGCTGTCACACTGTTTACCTGGCAGGAGCTTCTTGCAGCAGTCAGTCATCAGTGCTCTGAAATGCCTCCTTAGAATAGATTGCAGACAGAGGAAAAACAAGTATGTGTCAGAAATTCCTGGTTAGAATGAGATAGGGATTCACCTGATTATGATACTTTAGTGATATTTGGGAGGGTCTTCGTGGTGCCTAGGTTAGGAGTTAGTGTCTCTAAGCTCCCTTTGTTGTCAGTGGATACAGAGACAGAAAAACACTCTGAAACCTTTTATGGAGAAAACTGCCTGTCCATGGGCAGTACGAGGAGGCCTGGCATCCTAACTGAGGTTTTCTAAGATTTAGCTGTGTTTATAACCACCAGCACGTCCTGCCTGAGAAAGGGTTCAAACTGTGTAGCAGGCACCTTCGTGAACACAGGCTGTGGCTGCCAGAACTTTTCCTGCTCCATTGCCTGCGCTGCCCCTGGGGCACTGACCGTGGGGCTGACAGGGCTGGCTCGTTAGCAGGACTCCATCACTACGACTCCGTCAGCAACTCACATTCTGGCCCTTTGCTGGAGACCTGAGTTCATTTTATTTAGGGAAATGGTTTGGTTTTGTTTCACGTCTAGATGCAAAGTAGGGATCCCAAGTTTTGGGATCTTTAACATGGTAAGCAGCAAAACAGTGAACCCAGCAGCTGGGGGGGGAAACCCTGCCAAAGAGCTACACATTGACATTTGAAATGACTGCAGACACTAACCTTTCCTTCATCTTCAAGAAGACAGCTGAAAATATGTATAACTAGCTTTCTTTACCTAGTACTTCATTGTATTTATCTCTGTTACCTTTAGGGCCACATGCTTTTACATTATGTAGGCTCATCTACCCCAAAGAGACACACACCACCTTGAAGTTTAAATAACGTCCATAGCAAAAGTGAGTGATATGTGAATGTGCTGTCAGCAACAGAGGAAAAAGCAAGGGATCAGGCTGGCTGGGAGCACTGGTTTTGCAGGCAGACAGGTCTAGATACCTCAAAGTCAGGGGACAAAGCAAGGGTTTATAAACCACAAAAAGAGGCTTCATCTCCTGTATAAATTGTAGTGGTGCCATTCTTAAGTTGTTTTCCCTTTAATATTTTATTCCTAATGATATAGTATTTTTACTAAAAATGCATAAGAATTTATTCCCCTTAATTCTGATTTGTATACAGGCATTTTCTTCTACTAAAAGGTTTCCCACCTAAAATGCTTACCCGGGTTGAAAAAGACAAATCCAGATCCTCATTAACATTCCTACACGGCAAAATTTGCAGTCCATAAGCACTTTCCAGTATATTGAACTACCCCAAGTCAAGAAGGCTGCAATAATTCAAGCAGGCAATGCTGTTCCATCAGGGGCTGCTATTTGATGTCAGCAAGATTTGTATTCCAAGTTACTTGAAATTCCCTCAGCTTTGGGTTTCTAGTTTTGAATAGAAGTTCTGAATAACTTTAATGTCATGAAAGTCATCATTGCTGTTGATGCCAGAGCAGTTTGTTTTTTGAAGGGAAAAAACTTTGTCCCTGAGGGGCGTTTTAACAAAAGCACAGCTAAACAGATAGCATTCCCGTATAAATCAGTGTGCCCAAGAGCAAAGCTGTGTGTCTGCTTGGGTGTTTTCAGAGTGGGATGCACTTCCACAGTGGAAACTCCTCTGAGTCAGTGAGACCGCAGTGCTGCTGAGCCTTACCCCAGCCGTGCAGCCCAGCCTCTTCCTTTGCGATGGCATTGCAGGGCAGCTCACCTTCTGGATGGGCCAGTTTGGGGAATTAAACTAGATGGAGATCGTTCCTTTGGTTTTCTTGAAAATTATTAGCTGGCTTAGTTCCGTAAACAATCTCACTGCAGGTAAGATGAGCATTGTAAGCTCTGGACTCGGTTTGGAGCATGAGACCAGTTTCAGTTCGCTTAAACTGCCATGGAGCTGCATCCTCTCTTTCAGCACAGTCTTGCAGAATCCAAGTAAGATATCCCAGGAGCAATGGGATGTTAAAATAGTAATGCTTTGTTTGTAACTCCAAATTTGCAAGGACAATATTTTTCAGTTTCCTTTTCCAAAACTTCCAACCCAATTTAAATCACAAGAGTGGATGTGCAGAAGTGGTTTGCATTACATTCAATGAAATAATACCTTCTAATTAAACTGTTGTCACTTGGTATAAAGCTTCATAAATGATTGTGATGAAGAACTGCAAGAGTTAACTTTTGCTGCTGTAACAGCTGCATACAGGGAGCTCTTGCGCAGCAGCAATTGCTGTATCATCAACATGCATGAGTGTAAGCGGGAATCCATGACAGCGTCTTCTCTGGTTGCCCTGCAGGCTGAACTCGGCTCCAGTGAAGGGCTTTGAAAAAGATGTGGGTGGCAAGACAACTCTCCGGATCACATATCCTGAAGGTGCAATCCAGAAAATGGAGCAGTATGAGAAGGATTCCCTGTTTGTTCTGGCGGGATTCAAATGGCAGGATTTCAAGTGGCTGAAATACATTGTTTACAAGGAGAAAGTGGTAAGAACGCTGCCAGCTGGCATTGTGAAGGTCACCTAATCAGAAACAGTGGGCAGACATGATATCAGTCATATTTGCCACATTTTGGTCTGAAGAGAGTTCCTCTATGTGTCCTCCTGCATTTAAGTAAAGGTCTTTTCCAACCTAAACAATTCTATGATTCTTTATACATCTGCTATTTTGACTGCCATTTCCACAATGGCATGGGACTGAAGGTGAGTGTCCAGTTCCTCGAGGCTCCGGGTCTCAGGAAGAACTGAAGAGCAGCTACCTCCCCAGCTCCGCACCCTGTGCTTGTGCTGTTGGCTTTTCCTGCCAAAGAGCAGCACTGTGCACTTGTCCCTACCGATTCCTTCTTCCAGAACACTTGTCCAATTTGCCAAGTTCCTTTGGCAGAGCTTTCCAGCATACCTGCCATTCTTTCCAGATTCATGTCCTCTGCAATTTAATAAACATACTTTTTACTCCATCATCCAGGTTGATAATGAAAACACTAAACAAAGTTGGTTCCTAGGCAGACCCCAACGTAATAACATCCTTCCATTTCTACAGTGAGCCCACTGAGAACTCCTCCTGGAGAGTTTTTTGGCCACTTCCGAACTTGTATCACAGTAGTATCATTAATAACATTTTTTGGCATGTTTGTGAAAGTGATATGTCAGAAGCCTTACTGAATTCCAGTTCATGTCTTGCTTCTCCCTTATGATACTTTTTTTCCTGTATAAAGAAATACTGTGGGGTTTTTTTGACAATGATTTGCTCTTGACAAATCCACCTGGGTTGCTACTCAGTCCTTGTTATTTTTTTCAGGTGCTTACAAATAATTTATCTTGCTATTCCGAGAATCGAAATCATAAATCAACTCTCTTCCCTTTTTTTGCCTTCTTAAGGCTAGGCACTTCTTTTGTCCATTTTTCAATCCTTTGACACTCTACCTGTTCTACACAAGTTCCTAAAGGGAATCACTGCTACTTTGAGGCTGCTGAGCCAGTTCATTGAATACTTTAGGATGCAGTCCAGGTGACTGGAAAACATCTGTCTTGTCCTCTCTAGTCTGATCTCTCTCTATTTGAGGCTGAGATCTTGCTGTCACTGGCTTTAGCTGCAAGCAGGTGGCTAGCACAGCTGCTTTTTCTAGTGGAAACCAATGCATAAAGTGCTGTCTCTTAGTTAGAAGAAATGACCCGATGGAGAACTAACAGTGCTATGGGAATAAGACGTAGGCGTCTGTTTGTTCTGGTAGTGAGTGTTAGTATTTTTATCAGTGTGTGGTAAGTTCAAAATGACAAATGCCTGCCCAGTGCTCTCTGCGGAGAGTTTCTGGCGCTCTCTCAGCTGATTTTCCAGAGAAAAGGGAGTTTCTTCCTTTCCTGGATTCATCTAGAGGCCCTTGCTCGACCTAGGAGCTCTGTATGCCACTGTTGCTTATTCCTTATCTGACATTAGGCCTGTCCCTCTGCAAGACTTCATCCCCGCTGCAAACCAGTGGTTACAGTCAGCAGTCTAACCTCAGGACAGAGATAAGGGAAATGGAAGCATCCTGCTAAAGAACACGACTGCTGTGGAAGTGGACACATTCCTCAAAAAAATGGGCCGAACTCTGCCCTCTGATGTTTCCTTTGCCCCTGAACATTGATGGCAATTGCATGTGTCCATGGTACACTCACAGGTGGGGTATGAGACTTTCTGAATTCCTTCAGACACCAGACCTGGAGCTGCTTGGACCTGCTTCACCAGAGATTCTGGGCCAGGTACTAGCATCCTTGTTTATTCCTCTCTCGAGTATGTGAAATCAAAGGGAGTTTATCTGAGAAAGAGTAAATGAAAGGTGAATGGCTATTTATTGCTGGGGTAAGTGGTCAGATAAGCTTATTCTCCCTGCACCTGAAAGGGATTTGCTCTGTGTTATGTTAGTCTTTTGGCAGCACTTGCATATTGAGGAAGGGATAAATGCTTTGTAGAGAGGAGGATTTTCAGGAGATGTTATAAGGAAAAAGAATCAGTGTGATGCAGAAGCAGCAGCAGGACAGTGAGGCAGAGGATTTGATGTGTTACATACGGTCTGGTGCAACAGCCTTCCAGAGATCTGCGTCATGCCTTGGTGCCCTGGGAGGCACTATATCCAGAAAGAGGAGCAGTGGAATATGGACCAAACAAAAAGTAAAAGCTCAGCTGCTTTTTATTTCACACTAAACCAAAAATATCTGGAAGCAAATAAAAACTTGAGAGAAAAGATTAATCTAGAAAAAGGACAGGTTTGGCTAAATATTCAACATCAGCAGCAAAACAAAGGTAGTCTCCATCACAGAGTTCTGGGTGAGCTGGCACTCAAAATTTTAAGTCTTGTAGCAAGTTAGGGCAGTACTGTATCACTGGAGAGTATAGACCTGTCTTTAAGGAGGGGGAAGGTGGGTGAATCTGAGTGGCTAAAACCCTGGTAATCTGATTTCAGTCATTTGACAAGCATTAGTATAAACTGAAGGAGAAAATAATTGCACTTTTTGCAAGCAAATGGGAGAAAACGCGTGTGGGATGGAGAAAGGCGGCATGGTTAGCAGAGGGGAGTATTGCACCATGCTGACCTAATATATCAATGTACGAGTGAAAAGGAAGTCGGTTGGAGCCCCAGAGCCTGCAGTCGCATGAACCCACGATTATTGCAGAAGGGTCACAGATGTGAGCTGTTCGTGCATCTGTGGTGACTGGTCTGGCAGTGCTGACTTGCCGTCATTGCTGCAAGAGCCTGCTGCAACTTCCCAGGCACCCCTCCTCTGATGAAACGGCTGCTGCTAGCGCATCCCCAGAGGTGGATTACTCATGGACAGTCAGTCAGAACAGTTACGCTCTCTCCTGGACTGTTCTTTTTGCCATGAGACATTAGCCATATGTATTGTGATCCCACCCTGCCTGCTTCCCATCCTGCACCACCCCGGGTCTCTCAGTGACAGAAGCTCTTCCTGAATACCCAAAGTACCAGAGGAATTACAGGGGGAGGGAGGTTTGGCCATATACTGCTCTTCTCTGTTAAAATAATGGTCAAAACTGAAGGTTTCTCTATTTCATGGAGAGTAGATGCTTCCTGAAACAGAGGAATTTACAAGCACCAGTTATGCAAACCAGCCATCACAGCCTGGCGCTGAGGCTGATTCCAGGGTGGTTTTTTGCCCATCATTAGTGAATCAGAAGGAGCTCTCTTGCTTGCTAGGGCTCACTTCCCTGAACATCTGGCACATGGTGGTAAAGCAGCCAAGTGAGGGCAAAGGTTTCACTAGAAATTGGCAGCTCACAAGCTTCCTTCTCATGTAGTAATGAGCCTGCGGATGCTTCCAGCAGGAATCTCTGCAGCCTTTGCCAGGAGGAGTCACGTGTGCAATAAGTGCCTGCGGCACCTTGAAGCTCTCTTTGATAGTGAAAGTTGTAGGAGCAAGTGAGCACCTGCCTGCGAACGAGGCCAAGTTCACGTGTCTGTCCCTTGCAGGGGTATGCCTCTGGCAGCTTGCACACGGCAATGATGCCATCTGAAAAGCAGTCGTCCTCCAGCAGATGTTGAGACTCCAGCAGTGGGCACGACATCACCCCTCCGCCTTTGTCACAGGATGTGACCACTACTTGTGGAGATCTTGTGGATGTGGCAGCAGTGGAGATTTTTCTTAACCTTTTATTTGGGAACTACATTTCTGCTTTAAGTCAACAGGTTACTTCTAGTCCTGCTAAAATGTATGTTACGATGCCTTCCTGCCTTGATCAGCCTGTGTAACTGTGCTAGAGCCAAGGCCGGACTGCTGCCAGAGCCCTCACTGTCTGCTGAGCTTTTGTTTAGAGCTTTTCTTCTTCCATTAGTTAATGGCCTTGTCATGCTATGTGTTTGCTAGGGCAGGCTGTGAATGTCACAGCCTTGTAGTACACTGCAGATTCCTCAGATTCTGAAATAGTCTTGCCCATGGGCTGTTTTGCATCCCTGAAAACAAACTGAGGAGCCACCATGCTCCTATCAGCTTGAGGAAAATAGTGAGGCTGTGAATCTGTTCTTGCTGTCCAACCCCAAGTAAAGCTTCATCCACATGTGTGTATCTCCAGCTTGTTTGGAACTTGAGCCCAGCACTTGAGCAGGCGGTTTCGCTGGATCTGGGCTGAGGAGGGAGAACCTGCTTTTTCCAATGCGGTCACTTGCCTTTGGTGACAAATAGAGTGGCCGCTGCCCCTGGCAGTTTCACTCCAGAGTCTGCTTCTGGATTGCAAATATTTTCTTTCCCTTTCTTCCTCCCAGGGGCTTGTTGCTTTAAAATATTTTGTATGGAGTTGGTCTTTTCAGTTTTTAAAGAACTGTGAGAAAGACTGTTCATCTGGTTTTGGTGGAGCTGTAAATCCACCACTAGTTGTCTTAATGCATTATGAATGCAAAGCTTGGTTACAGATTTGTAATGCCTGATCCTGTGCTGAGACAGAGCTCTGGCCCATCTGCTTAGAGACGTGCCTGGATAGGCATTGCCTTGTGTCCTCCTGCTCTCCTTGGTCTCGGGTGGAAGGGGGCAGAAGCTGGACTTGCTGCTCCATCATAAATGAGAAGAAGCTTTTGAATTGGGAAGTCAGCTTAAAGGTGGTCCCATTTCTTTCACAATTTTTGAGTTTTCACCTAAAGAGCCATTTATAACTAATCCCTTCAGAAGTATAACATAGGAAGGCATGGCTGGTGAGTAAGGCAGCCAATGTGCATAAAGGACATGATGAGGCTTGCACTGGGGAAGAGGCAAGAAAACCTTTTCAGTGGTGATTGTCCTGTGGTCCTAGCACACGGTGCAAAAGGCTATTTCCACTCACAGAGTGTGGGAGGATTTTAGGAGGAATTGATAGCAGAGAATACCTTATCACATCATCAGGATGGTTCAGTGCCTCAGTCAAGGCAACTGAACCATTACTAAATGTTGAAGCAGAGAAAATGCCTTGTAATAAAGTGAAAACATGAGGCAGACTCTTCTGGCTCCTATTGAGTCTCTGACTGA